TTGTCTTTTTTGCTTGTTTTGAAATGAGTACCAATTGTCTCTCTCAGTACTCTTGCTCTATGGGACTTATCTTCTAATAAAACTCTTTATGTTCATCTAAAATATCCCCCCAAATACCAAATATATTGCTTCGTCTAGTTATTTAAGTATGTAAAAGGTAAAAACTCCTTTAAAAATCTTTTAGGAAAAATAATTACAATACTAAAATTATCATACCAAAAAAGGTAACAGTAATTCCTTCATGGTACTAAATATATAATTGCTTGAAATTCCTGATTGTTTACCTAAGTGTTCTTTTCATTTGGTTTATTTGAGTGAAGCCCCATAAGGTCTCATACTCACATTTGCTTTCTCATAAGTCTCATACATTCTCTAAGTCTCTCTTAGTCTTATAACCCCTCCCTCTTTCTTTTTTTTTTTACCCTGTAATATTTAAAATCTTAAGTCGTTTGTTCCTTGTTGTGTTATGTACCATAAAGTTAGAACCAACCCATAGCTGACCCTCCATTGGGTTTTCAGAGGCAGTGAATTACATGGGAGGAGACTGCCCATCCTTCCCCCACAGAGCTGTAGGTGGGTTCAGACCACTTGCCTTTAGGTTGGCAGTGCAGCTTCTTACCACTAAACCACCAGAGCTCCCTGTTTGTTCCTTAGTTTCTCAGAGTTTGGATTTTGCTGATTGTGTCCCTGTAGTATTTTTTGTCAGGAATACTTTGTAAATGCTAGATGCTGTGTTCCTCTTCCAGTAAGATATTTACATCTTACTTGCTTCTTTTTTGTCATTTTGACGATCATTGCCTGGATACACTGTCATTAAGCAAAAGAACCTCTCTGTTGTCAAGTCATTCCACCTTATAGAGACCCTACAGGAGAGAGTAGGATGGCCCCATAAGGTTTCTAAGTTGTAATCTTAAAGGAAGCACACTTCTACATCTTTCTCCAGTGGAATAACTGGTGGGTTTGAACTGCCAGTTCGTAGGTGAGCAACCAAGAATTTAACCACTATGCCATTGTTGTTGTTAGGTGCTGTTGAGTTGAGCACAACTGATAGTGACCCTATGAACAAAAGATCTGAACCCTTTTCTGTCTTGTGCCATCCTCACACTTCCTGACACACTAGAGCCCATTGCAGCAGTCACCTTGGCAGTCCACCTGGTTGAAGGTCTTCCTCTCTTTCACTGACCCTCCACCCTTCCCAGCATCATGTCCCTCTCCAAGGACTAGCCTTATTCCACTCTTAAGCACTTGGCAAATGGTCCTATTTGGTCCCAGCTTGCTGTCACATGTTGCACTGCTAAGCAAAGTGCCAAGTAGCTCCAGAGGTTTGAGTCTATGAGACAGCACCTGGGGGAAGGCTGGCCAGTCTCCTGTTCAGATTTACAGCCTGGGAAACTCAATGGAGGGTTGCGCATCTGTTTAGGGAAGTGACCTGATTTGATTCCTAAGGAGGTATGGTTTGTAGCATACCTCTGATATCAAACCTCTTCTGAATCTGGCTTGAATTTCTGGCAGTTCCCTGTCATGTATTGTTCTAGCAGATTTTGAATAATCTTCACCAAGATGTTTACCTGTGTTTTATTGACTATGCAGAGACATTTGAGTGTGTGAATCATAACAAATTATGGCTAATATTGAGAAGAATGGTAATCCCAGAGTGCTTAGTTGTTCTCATGTGAAATCTAGATCTAGACCAGGAAGGAATTTATTGTCCAAACAGAAAAGGAATATTGCATGGTTTAAAATCAAGAAAGGTGTGTGTAATGGTTGTATTATTTTCTCCACACCTATTAATTGTATGCTGAACAGATCATTTGAGAAACTGGACTCTGTGAAGAAGAATGTGGCATCAGGAGTTGAGGAAGACTCAACAGCCTGTGTTGTGCAGATGACACAACCTTGGTTGCTGAAACTGAGGAGGACCTGAACTACTTGCTGCAGAAGATCAAAGAATATGGCCTTCAATATAGATTCTCAACATCAAGAATACCTCAACCCTCCCAATAGATGACAAAGATTCACCTTTTCAGTGATCTCATTTTACTTGGATTTTGGTAATTTGTTGTTTTATGTGCCATTGAGTTGCTTGTGACTCATAGCGACCTTTTACACAATAGCTCTGAACCCTGTCCTATCCTGAGCCCATCTCTCTCTCTCTCTCTGGCACACCTACTCTCATCCTACTTACTGTGTCAATCCACTTCCTCTAGAGTCCTCTCTTTTGCTGTCTCTCAATCCTTCCAAGCATGATATCCTTCTCCTAGGATTGGTTCCTCCTGGCAGTATATCCAAAGTATGTTACTCTGGAGTGGTCCTTGACAGCAGATTTTACCAGTGTAACTTGTCCTTTGATTTCCTGGCTGCTGGTACCAAGAGTGTTGATTATGGAGCTGAGCAAGCTATAACTGTTAACAACCTCAATCTCTCTCTAATATGGTGCTGCCAATTGGCCCAGTGGTGAGAATCTTTGTCTTCTTGATATTGAGCTTCAATCCATATTGAAGACTACAGTCCTTGACCTTCTGCAGCAAGCGCTTCAGGTTTTCTTCAGTCTCAGCAAGCAGCGTTGTGTCATCTGCATAATGTAGGTTTTTGATGAGTCTTCCTCCAATCCTGATGCCACATTCATCCTCATAAAGTCCAGACTCCCGAATGATCTGTTCTGCATATAGATTGAAATGGTATGGAGACAGGATACACCCCTGATGCACTCTTTTCTTGATTTTGAACCATGCAGTGTTTACTTGCTCTGTTCTGAGGACTGCTTCTTGGTCTAATTATAGGTTTCCCTTGACTACAATCAGGTATTCTGGGATTCCCATTCTTCTCAAGGCAAGCCACAAATTTTGTTGAGATCCACACAGTCGGATGCCTTTGAATAGTCAATAAAACACAAATAGACATTCCTCTGGTACTCTTCTGCTTTCAGCCAAGTTTCATCTAACATTCACTATGATGTTTCTAGTGCCACAGCCTCTTCTAAACACAGCTTGTATTTCTCAAGAGTTCTCTGCTGATGTACTACTGTTCCAGTTGGGGGTGTTTTTTATCATCTTCACCAGGATTTTGCTAGTGTGTGGTACTAGTGATATTATTCAATAATTTCTACACCCTGTCAGGTCCTCTTTTTGAAATGGTGATAAATATGGGTCTCTTCCATTTAGCTAGCTTAAAAACCAAACATACAGTAGAACACATTTAAGATTAGTAAATACAGCACCAGAGGCTGAGCCCTCATTTGGGAAATACAAAGGAGAATAAACAGTTGCAAGCAAACACTAGTAATTTGAATGTGGAATGTGGGAAATAGAAAAGTAGGAAAATTGGACATTGTTTATGAAGAAATAGAACTTGCAAATATTGGCATACTAGGCATTGACGAAATGAAATTGGTTGGCATGGGATATTGTGAATCAGACTCATGGTTGTAGCAATCAAGATACATGTCACATTGGGAAAATCTGTGTTGTCAGGGACCTCTGTAAAGTATTAAACAGCTATATCAGTTTGAAGACTTGTGTTGTGTTGTTGTTGAGTGCCATCAAGTCAAGCATGGCTCATAGCAACCCTATGAACAAAAGGCCTGAAGCCTTTCTATAACTATCTTCATTTCTCAAAGTTCATTGATTCCAGAGGCATAGGTGTGGTCAATCCAATTCATGGTATTTTCAATTAACTTCCTATACATCTGAAAGTTGGACAATGAAAAAGGATGGCAGTAGTAGTACTAGTACTGCCTTTTCTGTTGTAGTGCTGGAGAAGAGTACTGTCCTCTGGACTGCTGGAAGAACAAACAAATGTCATCTCATATACTTTGTGCCTGTTGTCAGGAAAGGCCAGTCCTGGGAAAACGACATCATGCTGGGACAGACGGAGTCAGTGA